AAAAGGCAAATTCATTTTCCCACATTTGTTGAAAACAACTCACAAAATCTCTGGTCCCTCATAGTGTTCAACCACCACTTCAGAAACAGTTTTCAAAAGTTCAATTATTCCAGGACTTTGTTTACCTATTCTCAAATAATTTAGTGCACAAAAGAAATTTAAAAAGTGTTAGATACAGCTTCTTAGTTCTGAATGGACAGTCAAGGACATCTGCCACAAGGAATAATCTCATTTCAGTCAGAAGATTGATTTCAATAAATCTATTTAAGGGAATAAAGTGGCTATTCTTCCCTTTGCTAAAATATACTTGCAGTTCACAAAGTATTTTGTTGATAGAAATGTTAGTAGGTAATGACAGACACACAGCCTGAAGCCACTGAAGTGTAGCATAGGATCTCCATCAGTCACAAGACATTAAAACATTGCTGTAGTGGGCTATCATTCTAGAGTAATTTGCACAGCTCTTTGATAGAGAAAATACCTGTACATTGGGAAGAATAAGAACTGTAGAGACAGAGAGATATACTTAAGTCCTATTCTATCATGCATTAATTCTGTGTCTTTTGGAGATTTAATCCTTGGTTTCATGCACCAATTGAAGAAATAAGTAGTGAGTATCTACTTGATGTAGGCTCTGTTCTAGATACCGTGAACAGTAGTGAGAAAAAGAGTTTAAAGAATCTACCTTCATCAAGCTTACACTGTCACAAGGAGAGACTTTGGGAGACACCACATAGCCACAAAATAGGAGATATACAGTGTGCTATTTGATGATTAGTTTTATGGGGAAAAATAAGGTTGCAGGTGAGGAAGTGCTGGGGAAAGAGAAAATTTTGGTAGCATAGTCAGGGAAGGTGTCACAGAGAAACAAAATGACAATGGAAAGAGAGTTGAAGGAGTGAAGAAATGAATCAGGTAGGTACATGGGGTAGAAGATTGTGGGCACAGAGAATGTCAGAGAATAACAGGAAGGCTGTATGTCTCGGTCACTGGGAGTGATGGGGAGAGTAATGGGAGATAAGAGTTCAAAGAGGTACAAGAAGAGGAAAGGCAGAAGACCACACTTATAGGGCCTTGTTGGGCAATAGTGATATTTGCCATTTTTGCTAAGTGAGATAGGAAGTTTCTAGAGAGTTCTGAGCAGAGAACTGCCATTTTAAAACATGGAGACATATTTTAAAAGATTATACTGTGTTGACAATAGATAGACAAAGGAAAAGGTGGAAGCAGGCAGGGCAGTTGAGAGGCTAGTGAAATGATCCATGTAAGAGATTGTGGTGTCTTGGACTAGAGAAATAGCCAAGGTGAAAGTGAGAAGTGGTCGAATTTCTGAATATATTTAAAAGAAGTGGCATCAGAATTTGCTGACTGAGTATTTGGTCTAAGAGAGATAGAAGTCAAGAATAACTTCCAGGTTTTTGACCAGAGCCAGGAGAATGATGGAGTTGTCATAACTGAGATGAAGGAAACTGTGGGAAGAACAGGTTAATTGAGAAAATCAATTAAAATCAATTAGTTTTGGATACATCAAGTTCAGGATTCCTATTAAACATCTAAGAGACTAAACTAATTAGGCCATTGGGTTTACCTTGTAGAGAAGAGGTCTAGACTGTAGATTTAAATTTGTCTCTAGATGTTATTTAAAGCAACGAGAGAGAATGAGATCACCCGAAGAAGAGCAGTCTCCAAGGGCTGAGCCCTTAGGCACTTGATGTTAAGAAGTAGGTAATAAAAATTGTGAATGCTCATGTAATTCTGTGTACAAACCCTGTTCTGTGTGCTTTCATATCTGAGCTCATTTATTCTTCACAACAGCCCTGTAATGTGGGGAGTATTATTACCCTGGTTTTACAAATTAGGAAACTAAGGGCAGGTGGTTAAGTAACTTGTCAAGGTAACTTGTCAAGTAACTTGTCAAGGTAAACCCTGCTGAGGTTTGTAGCCAGGATTCCAACCTGGACTGTTGGAATTCTGAGTCTGGGCTTCTAACTCCTTCCTAATAATAACTACTCACCTCCTCAGTAACTAGAAGAGAGGTGCTACTGAAAGGGAAGATGAAGAATGGACAGTTAGTGAGGCAGAAGGAAACGAGTAGTGTGGGGTTGTGGGAAGCAACTCAAGAAAGTGTTTCAAGAAGGAGAAAAGTGAGCATCTGTGTAAAATGATGCCCATAGATCCAATAAGGATGAGGATTCCATAACACTAGGGAGGGTGTTAGTGATATTGACTAGGACATGGACAAGAAAGTTTAGTAACATAGAGTGCGTTTAAGAGAGATGGAGAGTGTAGACAATGAGTTTTGACAACTCTTGAGAGGACTTTTGTTATATAAAGGAGCCTATGAAAGGGCAGTAGCTGGTAGAGGATGTGGGATCAGCTGAAGATGTCTTTTTTTTTTTTTTTGAAAGATTATTTATTTATACAAGAACCGGGGTATAGGCCAGATGGTGAGAGGATTCACCAGAGACAGAGGAGGGAACAGAACAGGCAGACTGATGAAATACACTGCTGAGAGGAGCAGCGGGTTTGGCAGGAGAGGTCTGCTGAGCCATGTGGGACCCTCGTCGGCCGGGCGGGATTGAACCCGTGCTGCAGAGGCTGCGGACAGCTTCACAACACAGTGCTCAACCGCCTGTGCCACCAGGGGAGACCCAAGAAGTCTTTTCAAGATAGGAAAACAAATAGCATAAGGGTGTTGGAGAATGATAAGGAATAGGAAGAAAAACTGATGGTGAAGGAGAGGAAAGATAAGAACATATGTCCTTGAGTAGTCAGGGATGACCTTAGATGGGGAAGCAGACAGTTCACTCACGGGAGGAAAGCAGTGTCTGCAGGCTCAGGAGCTGGTGGTTGGGTAAATGTGGTGGTGTGACATTGTGGGCATTCTCTTCTAATTTTCTTGTCCATAAATTGGGGATTATAGTATCTCTGTCCCAGTTGTGAGGACTAAATGAGATAGCAGATGTAAAATGTTAGTGTCCTGCTTGGTTTATGAGCCAAAATTATAGCAATTTTTTTCATCTCCCTCCTCGTTGGTGATTGTTATGATTGTTTACTAATATTCTTTGAACATTTACAATGCAGCAGACACTGTGCCAAGTACTTGTCATTCATTCCTCAGAGAATAGTCTTCCATTTGTGGAGAGACTTACTGAAGCTCTTAGAGGCAACCAGTTGGTTAACTATTCGATTATATTTTTTTCTGCCCCAATCTCCCCTTCATATTTTAAAGGGTCTTCAGTTCCCTGGGAAAAGATTTTATCAGCAATTGTTCTGGCCTAGGTTTTTAACATTTATTCATTCATCTTGATTCATTTGGAGAACAGTGGCCTGGGGCTGGGACCTGGAAGATAATTTCCACCTGATATCCTTTGTGGGGTCAATGGAGCATGGTAGACTGGTTTAAGCCATTTGCCAACTCTCAACACTGAAATGGCCTCAACATGGTCAAAATCACAGTCCCCCCTAAAAAAAAACCCCCCCCCCAAAAAAACTGTGTTTCTTCTGTTGCTGTGGGAGTAGTGGCAAGTGAGCGCTGAACCATTAATGCCCAGCTCCTGAACATTGATGTTCTCAATCAAGAAGAGACAAAACAGGACTAGAGTGCCTCCGAGATCTGCTCAGGCATTAAATTTCCAGATTTTTCCATCACTTAGACACTCTCTTTTACTGTTTGAAATGAATTAGTATTTCTCCACTGAGACTCCCTGCAGTTAGTTAGGGGAAGCTGTGACTCTCCTCATGGAAGAACTTCCATGAATGTAGATTCCATATCAGTTCTTACAAGTCTGCTTCTCAGGAGGAGCTGCAGGAGCCAGTGTCTTCTTGCTGAGCAATTTTGATCAACCTGTGGCTGCTTTTCCCATGAGAAATAATATTAAAAGAAAGAACAAAAAAGGAACTATTCCTACTCTGGGTAAAAACCAAAGCCTGTAGACAGTCTGGCCCTGGACAAGTCCAGGCTCCCTGGCATGTTCAGACATAACAAGACCTGACCACTGCAGAAACCATCCATGCATACCAGAGATCATCCAGGATTGAAATTCGATCAATTGCCACTTGACAAAGTTTCCATCAATCAGAATGGCACTTACTGTAAATTTATTTGCACAAAGTGGACCTGGGTATGTACTACCTCCCCCTTTGGTATTTACAAGTGCTTTCCATGCCAGGCAACTGGAACACAGCGTGCGAGTGCTGCTTGGTTAGTCTCCTCTATGTTGCAGTCTTAAAACCTGAAGTTCATGTCTATCCTTTGCTGTAACTCACCAGGCATCGGTCTACAACCATATCTGAGAAATGGGCATCTTAGCGTTCTTACAGGCTGGAGGCCTGAAAATTAGCTCTTACCCCAAATAGAAAAGTTTCATAATCTTTTTTTCCTCCAAGGTGGCAATTCACTACCTGGTCCGTTGGAATGTTCCTGATATTTAAGTCCCCAAACTGAACAAGGATAGGGTCTTTATTTTTCTTATGAGACTCACTGTGAACTCAATAGTTTCACTTTTTCTTAAAGCTCTTCTGTATGGTGAGTATCATTAGCTCTGGTGTGCAGATGAAGAAAGAAACTCGGAGAGGATAAGGAATTTGCCTAATTCCACCCAGTGATAAGTGATGGTGCTTACATTTGAACTTAAGTCTACTTGAATTTATATAAACTCTGGTCTATATAAAAGCCCTTAACTTTTAACCATCAAATGATATTACCCCCCTTATTGATTCCAAAATTGTTGAAAGTGTGAGGGTTGCAGAATCCTCCTGTGACTCTATGCTTTATAACTCATATGGCTTCACCTGGAGTCATTCTGGAAGCTGTAAATTCATAAATAATGTCTCCTTGGTTTGGTGAGGCTCTCAGTGCCAGTGGAGACAGATGATCTACGGGCTGTGCATGGTATCATTGCAAGCTAATGTGTTACTTCATAGTCTTGGGTTGCCACCCCCTGGAGCGTTTTGATGCGATCAGTTGTCAGCTTCAGGTCTGTTGTTTCTTTCACCAGAAGCCCAGCCAGTGGGAGATGACAGCCCCAGAGCCCTGCCTGTGTTAGGGGAGCTCTCCAACTCAGATAATGACATAAACGAGTCCGTGTTCATCTGGGGAATCTCAGACAAAGCAGCCCAGAGGACAATCATCTCTGTCGATGAAGGTTTGTTTCACTTGCAACGGGAAAAGCAGCAACAGCAGCAGCAACAGAAGCAGCGACCGGAGCTGGTGCACAGGCTGGGGAGAGGTAAAGGCAGGCTGAAGCTGCTGCATGTGAGTAGAATTTTATGATTTCTCTGCAGCTGGGAAAGGAATGCTGGGGAGGGGGCTTGACTGGGAGGTGGGGGTGAGCGTGTGGACTGGGACTTTCCGCGTGGCCAGGGGTAGGGGGTGATGATATAATTAACAAGTGTATTTGGGGTCTGCCTTTCTCTTCCAAAGGAGGTGCAAGAGTGTATCCACATGCGCTTGCATTTTCTCCACCGCTACCGGTAATAAATGTGAGCAGCAGGTGGGGACTATTTCTTTTTTCTTTTCTTTTTTTTTTCTACCCTCTCTTCATTCTTGAGAGTGGGCTGCATGGTGGAAAGACATCTCAGCCCCCAAGAGCTTTTGCAAGCTGAAGGACACCCCCAGAGGGGTTCTTGCCGAAGTTTCTTTGGTAGACGTGTAGATTGCTGTTCTGTGCCATGGAGTTGCTCTTCTGGAAGGGCGCTCACACCCTGCCAGCCACAAAGGGCCAAGGGAGACTTTTGTCTCTCTGCTTCCCAGCTGCAGTTGCCTGTTGCAACCAGCACCAAATCCAGCACAACTTAACCTCTCAGTCGTCATGGTTAAAAGAGTTCATGTGCACAGCCCAGGCATGAGCAAGCATGGGCTGTACTTCCTGCATCTTCTCTGCCTGCAGCAAATAGCTCATTTCTCGGGGCTAAGGGCACAGATGCCATCTTCAACTTTGGGAAAGTTGTGTGTGTGTGTTTGTTTTAAATCAAGCTTTGGAATTCACTGTAAACACTGGCTAGATTGAAGCTGCACAGAGCAGGAGAGATCTTTTTGCTTTAGAGCATTCCTGCAGGTGGCTGCAGGTTGGCTTAGCCTTGGTAGCTGGTTAGTGTCTTAGAGTCATTGTTTCCTGGTGCTAAATTCCATGTTGAGCCAGAGTACACCTGGTCAGAAACTTGCTTGTACTCTGGTTTTCTAATGACATGGTGCCTTGCTTTCCATCCCTCCCTTCTGTCTTGAGAAGTTCCCAGGTGACTGGGCTTGCCATGGTGCCTGTTTAGATGCTGAGCATTTGCAGTAAGTGCAGACAAGTTCACCTTCTCCAGGAAGAGGGGAGGATGGGGGAAAAGATGGAACAAAGGGGGGACAATTTGCTTATTTTAGAGCAGGTTTTGAGTAGTTGTGCGTAATGGAGGTGAAAGATGGGAGGCGCCACCCCCCTGGAACTTGGCCTGGAGGAGAGCATTCCCGGGGTGCTGGGGCAAAGGGCTGAATGCTGTTAGGCTGCAGGGTCAGGGCCCCTGTTCCCAGGCTGCTATGGGGTTTGTGTGGAATATGAACCAGGGGGTGGGATTTCCGGGGCCTCCTCTCGCTGCGGTGGTGCGTTCCAGCCTTTCCCACACATGGCACCCAGGGTGAACAGATGACGCTGCTCAGGGCTGGATGAGTGGCTCAGGGGCTCAAGTGATCATCCCAGTGCAAAGGGTTCAATATTTGCGGCATGACAATACCTACACCCCATCTACTACCTGGTGGAGTGTTGGCATAGAGGTGGGAAGGATCTTATTCAAGCAACCCAGGGAGCATCAAAGAATAGAGGCAAAAGGGGCAATCTTATTCCTGAGCTTTGCTTATTTATTTTTGCCATTACTGGTAACAATGCATTATGAAAACATCACGAAGCGTATTTTTAGAAGACTTTCTCCTAATCTCACTGTTTTAGCACCTCTGTGTTTTCTCCTGGTCTTTGACACAATTTTAACCACAGTCTAAATAGATTCATTTATTCTGCTTCTTTCTCCTCCATGGTATTCCATAAGCAGGTTCTCATCTTCCAGTGTAAGTTTCATGTAGGTCGTTAATTGTGGTTGCAGTAAATGGATTAATCTCTTTAATAGATTTTTCATAATCTGTTTAGCAGTTATTGGCTATTTAAATTGCTTCTTGTTTTTCCATAATTATAATGTTGTTATGGCTATTTCTGTGCATAAAGTAGAAATTTCCCTTTTAAAAAAAGCATTCAGGGGAATGAATTCTCAACATTGATATTAGTGAGGTTAAAAATAATACACAGATTTTTGTGGCTTTTCATGCCTATTACTAAACTATTCTCTAAAACATATTTCCATTGTCAAAAAACCACCAGTAGTAAAGTCTAGATAAATATCAATTTGTCTAGAGACTGATGCACATTAGATTCTTTTTCTCCCCCACTCTCTAAATTAGAAACTATAAAAAGGTACTGGTCACTTTTTTAAAGTTTGCTTTGGAGTCCCATTAAGCCAGGCAGTAGCATTCTCCCCAGGACAAGCTTGCAACTTCTTGGTTCCCTTGCTTTGTCAATGACTCCCAGGAGGAATCCAAGTTCAGCCACCTCCCTTTCCAACTCTAAGGGGTGAAGAAGGGAGGGGGCAGAAAACTCCCCATGCTGTACCAGGGCACTTCACAAAGATGAGTAGGGGGTCACAAAAGGGGGAGCCAGCCTAGCATCATCTCCAAGCCTTGGAGCTCAATCCCAGGAGGCTCCCTTGTCCTCTGTCTTCTTCCCTGACCCTGGCACATCCCGCATAGATATAAAATCATTTGTTGGCAGGACTCAAGGCTGAGATTTGCCAGAATGGATGGGTGTGGGGTCCTTGGGAAGGTGAGGACTAGCTAAGCTTATTTGAAGGAAAAAAATACATGTTTTAGGGTCTCCTCTGCCCTGTGTATTTCTCCCAAATGTATATGCTTTAATGATGGCAGTTGGCTAAAGGCCAACTCTTATCAAATAAGAGCTGTAGAATGTTTCTTGTTCAATCCCGACCTCCTCTAAGGACAATTTCATCAACAATTTATTATTTTCTTTTATTTCCCTTTCCCTTGTAGCTCATCAATCTGGAGATTAATCTGTGCTGTTCTGACCTCCTGTGAAGCACACCATAAATTGCTTCGCTGCTAATCTCTTTTGTTCTTTCCCTAATTATTTGTGCAAAGGCCAAGAATACCCACTGGGAATCACACAGCAACTCATCATGCATTTGCCCACCCTGACCTACAAAGTGGGAAGGACAGTATCTTGGGTGCAAGATTTTTCCACTCTGCATAAGTGGGTTTGATAAATGTGAGTTTTTAAAGAGTGGTATTGACTCTTTCAGCCTGCAAAGGCCTCATAAAACCGATGGGCCACTAAGTGGCTGAATTCAAGTGAAGGTGATAGGGCTGTTGCTTGAGTTGGAAAGGAGCTTTCCTACTTGAGAAAATGGACAGACCAGGAGAAAGGCTGTGCTGGTAATCAGCCAGAGAGAATGAAACCTTTGCTCATTAAGAGCAGAATAAGGGACTTTTAAATTTTACACAAGTATTTAAGGAAAACAGTAGTAAGGGCGTCCCTTAAGGTTTGTCATGTGCTAGGACATGTTTTAAAAGTTCCATCTACATTTGACATTTGATTCTCTCAACAATCCTTTAGAGTATTTCCTGTTGTTATTTTATAGGTTTAAAATTTGAGAGACAAGGAGGTTATGTTGGAGGATACATAGAGTCTTGTATATGGAGGCCAAGGGGTAGAAGAAAGAGGCATGGGGGGAAATCTAAAATGTGTGAGGACCACACGGTAAGCCCAAGTCATCCCACTCCACAGTCTGTGTTCTTTCTTTTGTTTTGTTTTACAGTTCAGTTTAATTTTAAGGAGAGGGCAGGGGAAATAAATTGCTGTTTATCTTTTATAGAGAACAGCCCAATTTGTAGAACAATATCTAATTAGCTGAAAGAGAAGCTTAAATCATATATATATATATATTAATTTTGTTTATTTTTTTAGTTTTATATAATTTTACATCATTTTTCATTTTTTCACATTGTATGCATTTCCACAGTCTATGTTCTTAATCACTGCAAAATCAACTCATTTAACACTGGTAGAGGGAGCGATTGGCAGTCTAAAACAATATGAAAACACTACAGTACAGCTAAAATGTATTAGTAATAACAATAATAATGACAATCATGATTTCTATAACTATAATGACTAACAATATATATGCACCAGTTACTTATTACTGAAGTTTGGTGCATGGATTTTGATTTAATTCTCACAATAGTATTCTAAGATGGCCACCATCTTTTAAAAAATATTTATTTATTGTTTGCATGGAAGAACTGGTGTGTAGGCCTGATGTGTTGGAGGGTAGGTGAGAGGATTTACCAGAGACAGAGTGGAGAACAGAACAGGTGAATTTACTGAAACACACTGCTGAGGCGAGCAGTGGGTGAGACAGGAGAGGTCTGCTGCGCCATGTGAGTTAGCTTCTTGGCCAGGGATCAAACTCAGGCCATATCTGTGGTAGCTCTGAGATTTAACGCCTAGGCTACCAGAGAGGCCTGATGGCCATTATCTTTATCTCTATTTCAGCAATGAAGATATTCAGGCTCTGAGATATTATGCAACTTGTCTAAAGTCACAGACCTAGTGAGTTTGACTCTGAAGTCTATTACCTATGACCATACCTCCCTGATGCATCAACAGCTTAGCCCTGGATCAAAGAACAGAGCAGTAGTAATAAAGGGTTTGCTTGAGACAGTGGAGGTAGGCTCAGTTGCCTCTCCTGTTCTCTTTATACTTAGAACTTTTGAATGACTTCTAAATCACCCTCCCATGATGTTACACAAAACACTTGATCTCAGCTCGTGTCTGACACTGTCTCAAAGACAAGTTCCTAAATAAAGAAGACTTTGAAAAATATCACCCCGGGGAAGTCATTGGTGCCCTTATAAGAAAAAGACAAGAATCTCAATTCAACACCCACTATTGTTTAGTATTCTGGACCTGAGCAGTCCAATATGGTAGCCATTAACCCCATGGGGCTACTGAGCACTTGAAATGCACCTGTTCCAAAGTGAGAGTGCCATGAGTGTAAAATGTACTCCAGATCTCACATATTGGTATGGAAGAAAGTAGGTTATTTCAATAGATATGTATTGATAATATATTAAAATGATAATGTTTTTGATATATGGTTAAACAAAATATAGTCTAAATTTTTTACTTTTAAAAATTATGGTAAAATTTA